ATGAGGTGGCCACCATTGGCATGAGGTGGCCATCACTGGCATGAGGTGGCCACCATTGGCATGAGGTGGCCATCACTGGCATGAGGTGGCCACCACTGGCATGAGGTGGCCACCATTGGCATGAGGTGGCCACCACTGGCATGAGGTGGCCACCATTGGCATGAGGTGGCCATCACTGGCATGAGGTGACCACCATTGGCATGAGGTGGCCACCATTGGCCCAAAGTGACCACCACTGGTGCCAGGTGACCATCATTGGCACAGGGTGACCATCACTGGCATGAGGTGACCTCCACTGGCACCAGGTGGCCCTTGTTGGCACCAGGTGGCCATCTCTGGCACGGTGACCTCCATTGGCCCCAGGTGACCCTTGTTGGCACGGGGTGGCCACCATTGGTCCAAAGTGACCACCAAAGGCACGAGGTGACCCCCATTAGCCTCAAGAGGCCACCGTTGTCCCCAAGTGACCCCCATTGGCCCAAAGTGTCCCCCATTGGTCCAAAGTGACCCTCACTGGCAGAGGGTGGCCATCATTGGCCCAAAGTGACCACCACTGGCACCAAGTGACCATCACTGGTCCCAGGTGACCCCGTTGGCACCGGGTGGCCATCACTGGCACGAGGTGACCCCTGTTGGCACCAGGTGACCTCCGTTGGCACCAGGTGACCCTCACCGGCAGCGGGGTGACCCCCACGCTGTCACCAGGAGACCCCGGCGGTGTCGGTGGCACGGGGCGAGCGACGCCACCGTGGGGAACCGGGGGGACACCAATGGTGGGATGGGCACTGGAGGAGCTCTGGAGTCTTCTCCAACCCAAACCATTCCACGGTTCCATCTGACCATGACCAAAACTGGGTGACCCTTGAAGTCTTCTCCAACCCAAACCATTCCATGGTTCCACCCAGCTGTGATTGGACCTGGAGGAGCTCTGGAGTCTTCTCCAACCCAAACCATTCCATGATTCCATCCTGCCATGATTGGAACTGGAGGAGCTCTGAAGTCTTCTCCAACCCAAACCACTCCATGATTCCACCTGACTATGATCAACCCTTTCAGTCTTCTCCAACCCAAACCATTCCATGGTTCTACCCAGCTGTGATTGGACCTGGAGGAGCTCTGGAGTCTTCTCTAACCCAAACCATTCCATGATTCCATCCTGCCATGATGGACCTGGATGAGCTCTGAAGTCTTCTCCAACCCAAACCATTCCATGATTCCACCTGACTGTGATCAACCCTCACAGTCTTCTCCAACCCAAACCATTCCATGGTTCCGTCCTGCCATGACCAAAACTGGGTGACCCTTGAAGTCTTCTCCAACCCAAACCATTCCATGGTTCCACCCAGCTGTGATTGGACCTGGAGGAGCTATGGAGTCTTCTCCAACCCAAACCATTCCATGATTCCACCTGACTATGATCAACCCTTAAAGTCTTCTCCAACCCAAACCATTCCATGATTCCACCTGACTATGATCAACCCTCACAGTCTTCTCCAACCCAAACCATTCCATGATTCCACCTGACTGTGATCAACCCTCAAAGTCTTCTCCAACCCAAACTACTCCATGATTCCATCCTGCCATGATGGACCTGGATGAGCTCTGAAGTCTTCTCCAACCCAAACTACTCCGTGATTCCATCCTGCCATGACTGGAACTGGAGGAGCTCTGGAGTCTTCTCCAACCCAAACCATTCCATGATTCCACCTGACTGTGATCAACCCTCACAGTCTTCTCCAACCCAAACCATTCCATGATTCCACCTGACTATGATCAACCCTTGAAGTCTTCTCCAACCCAAACCATTCCATGATTCCACCCTGCCATGACTGGAACTGAAGGGGCTCTAACACCTCTTCCAGCCCAAACCATTCCATGATTCCACCTGACTATGATCAACCATCAAAGTCTTCTCCAACCCAAACCATTCCATGACTCCACCCAGCTGTGATTGGAACTGGAGGAGCTCTGAAGTCTTCTCCAACCCA